AGAAAGTACCAAGGGAGATAGGAATTATTCTGTGTCAGGCAGCTTTCAATACTGTAACAAAAATACCAGAGATACATATCCCAAATATATCCAGAACTCAAAAAATTAAATCCCCCAACCACAAATCCTCAAAGAAACAACTGTCCAATAAATAAGTGGGCTAAAGACTTAAAGAAAAACTTCTCTGAAGCGGAAAGAAGGATGGCCAATAGACACATGAAGAAATGCTCAAGCTCTCTAGCCATAAAAGAAATGCAAATCAAAACAACATTGAGATACCACCTCACCCCAGTTAGAACGGCTATAATCAAGAACTCTAATAACAACAGATACTGGAGGGGACATGGACAGAAGGGAACCTTACTGCATTGTTGGTGGGAGTGTAAACTTGTTCAACTACTTTGGAAAGTAGTGTGGAGGTTCCTCAAAAGACTTCACATAGAGCTCCCCTATGACCCAGCAATCCCACGTTGGGGCATTTATCCAAATGATCACAAACAAGACCATACTAAAGCTACCAGCACAGCTGTTTACTGCAGCATTATTCACCAGAGCTAAGATATGGAACCAACCCAGATGCCCCTCAGTAAATGAATGGATTAAGAAAATGTGGTATATATACACAATGGAATTCTATGCCTCCATCAGAAAGAATGACATTGCCCTATTTGTTAGGAAATGGAAAGACTTGGAAAAAATTATATTAAATGAAGTAAGCCAGGCCCAAAGAAACATAGGTCCCATGGTTTCCTTTATTTGCAATAACTAGTATATGTCTGAGTCAAGCAGAAAAGGTCAGATAAGTTGATATTAGGCAAAATGAACCCCAAGTTAAGGATTCAAATGATTTTTCTTTCTTGTGATTATTTCTAACATATTTATAAGATGATTTTTTTGTTGCTTTGCATGTCCCTCCCCCACGGTACAACCCCTGTTTTCACTGTATTTGATGTTGGTATAATTTGTGGAGGGGAAGGGAAAAAACAAATTGTTTAAATAGGGATACAGGTGGACCCATTGCAACAATGAGATGTACAAGTTGTTATGTCGAAAACGAACTTTACAACTTTGGCATGGGGGGACGGGGAGATGGGAAGGGATGGGAAGGGAAACAAAGAAGGAGGCAACCATGCTTGATAAGAAATGTAATCATTAACTTGCTCATGTAATTGTAATTCCTCTGTACTGTATTTTCACCATAAAAATAATAAAAGCATTAGAAAAGATAAAAATACCAGAGATAGACAACTTGTAAAGAAAAAATGCTTTATTTTGATACCCAGCTTCAGATATGTCAGCCCATGGCCAGCTGCCCCTGTTGCTTTTGGACTTGTGGTGAGGCAGCTTATTATAGGTTGGGAGCACACGGTAGAGCAAAGCTACTAACCTGATGGCAGCTAGGGAATGGAGTAAGGAAGAGTTCAAAGTCCCATAATCCCCTTGGAGGGCCTGCCCCCAGTGACCTAAATTCTCCCACTAGGCTCCACCTCTTAAAGGTTTTTACCACCTTCCAATAGCAGAACTCTGGGGATCAAGCCTTTAATACATAGATGGACCTTTCTGGACCTTCCAGATCCAAACTGTAGCTAATCCTTTCTTTATGGAATGAAGGAAGATGAATTAGGAAGACGGACAACCCCGGGGCTGCTGTGTACAAGGTCCCATAGTCATACCATTTCTCCAGCAAAGAGCAGCAGGACCAGCTCCAGTGCCCCTGGTGTCCCAAGGTCTTTGTGCATAGTCTCTCCTGAGTGCTTGTCTGTAATGTCTGGTGCAGGCCAGTCTTCTCTTTTAAGATATTGGTGGCTTTTGTTTCTCTCTGGATCCTCTGCCAGCAGGAGCTTTTCCTCCTGTCCTCAGCATCCCTTCTTGCTTTCCATAGTTATCTTATTCTTATTAAGGACTGGGTTTCTGTTTGAAGCTTTCTCTCCCTGTCACCCAATGATTGCACAAATAGCTACCCCATCAAATGCAGATCAAAATTAAATGAGATAATGTAAAAGACTTCACAATCTGGGAGGCACTCTATAATCGGTAACTACTGTTATTGCTACTGTTGTTAAACTGATCATAATAATCCTTCCCATAGAAGTCCTATTATTAGCCCAAGGTCACACGGGAAGCCATCCGCCATGACATTAAATGTGGGGAGATGTGCATGGCATTTCAAATTCATTCTTTAGAATGTAGGTGTCTCCCTTCCCCATCCAGGTACTCTTGTTCCTGCATTCACAGCTCCAGGACTACTGCCAACACCCCACTGCTTGGCCTCTGCCCCTTGGGTTCAGCAGCTCCTCACAGGTACACCAGCATGAGCTACAGTTGCCAAGACTTTCCAAAATCACAGTGTACCTTTATTTTGCTTAATTCTCACATTCCATTCAGCCTCTCCTAAATGCATTTGCCTGCAAAAAAAAAAGTCCACATGGGGGAAGTTCTGCCCACAAATAAGAATATAATTATTACACAGTTTAGCAGTGCCTGGGCGTCACCAGGGTATTCCCCGGTACTTCTCAATTCAATCGTCTCTCCGTCAAGACCATATTTAATAGGATAAACAATTTCTGCTAAATGCAATAAACGTGAACCTGGGCTGTCATCTCCATAATCAACTCAAATTTCCCATTAGAAGCGGTGTCTGTGATTGAGATTCAGAATTTAATTTGGCAGAGCTCTCTGGCTTCAATGTGCTCGTGTCGGCTTCATGGGACTCTCCCGTCAATGAAAGACAGAACTGCTCTTTTCTTGTCTCTGGGGAATCTTAAAAGAAGATAGATTATAACTCAAGAAAATTATACGGCATCCGGATAATGAAAGAGATAAAACATTATTGGATTAGCCTGTTGAAATAACAGCAGACAGTACAGCAATAATATCAAGCTAAACAAGGGCCCAGACCCATCAGTTCCATTGCAGGGGATACAAGAATGCTGGGAAGGTGGAAGGCAGACAGAATCAGCACCCTGGCTGCAGTGCCCCACCCCTGGGCAGTAAAGAATAGCTGCTTCCTAGGCTTGTTCTGTGGAGCCGGTTCCAGAGAACTGGCTGGGCTGGAATAACTACAATGCGTCCCAGTCAATTGTACTTCCACAAAGTAGCCTAAGGTTCTTCAATGAGGAGTGACCAGGAGCAAAAGAACACCTTACAGGATGTTCTAACAGAAGGGAATGAATGAGAGACATAAGACTTAAAACACTTGTCAGTGTAAAATTAAAAAAGGATATTTGGTAACGTAAAGATCAATTGTTATCTAATTTTCCTCTTGTAGCTCTCCCTGGCCCAAATACATTTGCACAAAGCAAAGTGCCTGTGGACCTCACAGGCAAGCCTCTGAGGGACAAGGAGGGATGGCCACCTTGCTCATTACTCACAGTCACCTCCGTGGCATGCCCTGTGATGTGTTACATTATTCCTCGCCCGGTCTCCATCACCTTCTCCCTTTTTTCTTCAAAAGTTCCTCTTGTGCAGTGATCAGTTTCCTCACCTTTGGCTGTAGCTCAGACCCTGCTTGGCATCCACTCACATTTCTGTCTCTGCTGCTCCATTCCAATGCAGACAACTGCACTTCTCCCTTGTTCAGTGTGGAAGGAACCAAGAGACCCAAATCCACACTCCTGGGAAAGCAGCAGGTGGGGGGCTGTCAATCATGTGCTACCATACCTGCATGTACACATGTGTGTGTGCATATGCTAACCTCTGCTGCATTTTACTTAATGAAAAAAGTCATTTGATATTCTAGTACTTATTTACTGAGAGGTAAGAATGTTCCAGTGAAGAATTTAAAAGTCCAGGGCTTGAGTTTCCAGCCTGGTTTTGCCACTTCCTGTGTAACCTTGAACAAGTCACAGAAGTGTTTCTAAGCCTGTTTTCCCTAACTGTTGAATAGTGCCGATCATGGAACCTGCTTCAAACTTCACCATGAGCATGGGGGTGAATCTACATATGGACAATGGCTGGCACACAGTAAGATCCTTGAGCAAGACTGTGTGCTTGTCAAAATAAGAACAACTTACCTTTCACATGCTGACTTCTTATTGGAGGCCTACAATGTGTCCATCACTGCTAGATGGTAGGCCTACATAATGGGTGGTACTCAGTTTTAGTTTTTTGTTGGTAGTGTAAAATTGTATTGCAGCACTCTTCACCATACCAACAAATGGAATCAGCCAGATGCCCCTCACTGGGTGAATGGAACAAGAAAATGTGGTATGTATACAAAATGGAATTCGACTCATTCATTAGAAAGAATGATATTGTACCATTTGTAAAAAATGGAAAGACTTGGAACAAATTATGTTAAGTGAAGTAAGTCAGGCCCAGAGAGACATGTTTTCCCTTATATATGGAAGCTAGATTTACCTTATAAACTTATAACTAAGTACATTGCATAGTATGCAAGTGTATATAAATGCATTAACTGAAATATGCTAGCTTCAAAGGAGAACTCAAATAGCGTAATTCCTTAGAAAGGCAAAGTCAAAGTTTAACAAAATAAGAGACAAATGAAGAAGAGAAGAGTGGGGAAATGCAGACAAGAATCTAATGTATATACAACAAATTAAGAAGAGAGAGGGTAGGAGTGGGTAGTAGGGAGGGTTGGGTAAAAATATTGAAAGGAGTGACGTTGATCAAGATATATTGCATTCATAAAATGCTTGGTTAAATGGCAACACCTTTGTACAATGACTTCAAGATAATAAAAATAAAGAAGACAGATAGCCAAAAAAAGAAAAACAACCCAAACTGTAGCTTAGGAAAAGTAAAGTTCACAGAAGTGCTTTACCTTGTAAGGCATTTAGGAGTTTTGCTTAACCCATGTTTATTCAAACGAATGCACACTTAACGAACTACCATTTCTACACATGTGAATGCCCTGCCTCCTGTCTGGTGCTACCCCAGGTGGGAACTGCTGTGTAGAGAGCTGGCCTGAGTGGGTGAGGTCCGTAGCCCATGTTGTACAAAGCCCACAGTCGGGTCAGCTGGTCCAGGTGCTCCTCTCCTTAGCAGTCCAGGATCTCCGAGGCAGGGCCTGAGCAGGGCCTGCCCCCATTTTGAGGAGATGGATTGGTACACTGCCTTTGTCTTGTTTTACGTCCTCCAGAGCATGGAGTCCAGTCAGACCAGCAATTCCACTGTCCATCAATGGGGACATCTATGAGAAAGAAGGTAAACAAACGTGGATTGGCTCTTATTGTATACACGCGCTCTATGGAGTTGGGTGGCAGAATAAGCCAAGAGAGCTTACTTTTCTGGCTATTGTAGTTGCCACACTGCCTTCTACCCCTGGGCATTTTCCCAGGCTGTTTGCCTTGACCAGTCTGCTCTTCCCTCCCTATTTTCATAGTTAACCCTCTTAGCCTTCCATATCTCCTGCAAAAGTGTATTTCTATGAGGAAACCGTCCTTGATCTATAATTTCCAAATTTTAAACCCTCAGAGCATTATGTAGCAGTTGTTTCTATTAAAACTTTAAAATGCATTTGAGGGACAGTTTGAAGGATGCTGAACTTTCCATTTACAGTGTTCCCTCTGTGATGATAGGGACTCCATCTCAGCCCTCAGCCCTCAGTGAACACATATTTCCTGGTTAGATGAATGTTTTCCAGCTTAGATACTTCTCCAATATAGGATGCTGTGTGGTTCCTTCCTCTCAGTCTAAAAAGGAGAGCTGTGGCATGTACTGTGAGTGTGACATGTTTAAACAAGGTGATGGGACCACTGGTGTTCTCTAATCCTTGGTACTTGTCTGATACTTCAGGACTCTTTGACTATTAATGAGGCTAGCTGAAAACCATTCACTTCCATCTTGATGTGTCATGCAGTATAATACTGAGGAAATTGCTTTCTGTCTCTGGGACTCCCTGTTTGAAAAATAAAATAGCTGGAGTATATAGTTTCCATACATCCACTGGGTAATCTCTGTTTGGAACCTGGTTGAGGGTCAAGAGGAGAAAGAGCAAACAGCTGAAAGCATTTCACTGCGAAGGCAGGAACACAGGCCAGCATTCAGATCAAAGATTGTGTAGTCAGATCCCCTGGCTTGATCCTGGGTTCCTAGATTCAACACTATGGCCAGCAATGCACTGATGGATCCTTTTTCATTATGCAGAAGGGAGTATCAAGAGAATCCACTTCATGGAGTTGTTACAATGATTAAAGAATTTAACATATCTAAAATACAGAGCAACAATGCCCCCTAAAGCAAAATGAATCAGTATTTATTTTTCTTTTGCAATGTATCCAGTATCACTTAAGTGCTTCACATTCCTCTTTATGAGGTCAAGCTAAACCTATAAAGTAATTAATGGGAAGATCTTCACAAATGCAGAAGCTGAGGTACAACAGAGGATGAGCATCTTGCTTAAGACCTTGGTTATTAAATGACAGAGATGGAATTAGAACCTAGTTTGAGCATAAGCACTCACCAAAATGCTTGGTACATAATCAAATGTCCAAGAAATCTTTATTCTTCTCATTGCAGGTGCTATGGGTTTTTGTTTGTTTGTATGTTTTGCTTTGAGACAAGGTCTCACTTTGTCCTTACAGGCTGGCCTGTAATTCATGATTCTTCTGTCTGCCTCTTCTGTGCTAGGATTAAAGGTGTTTACTACCACAATCAGGGCAACCATGTCCATTTTTAAGGTAATCAGCAGTCACCAAAGGAATGAAAGGCAGGGAGGAATATCAGGTTGAGAATTCTTAGATAGTAACCTGTCTAAAGAATTTGAGAAGAAGCAGCTCTGTGGCTCAAGAGGTATTGCTGAGGGACAGGGCCAAGGCCCAGAGTTCAAGCCCCACAACTGACCAAAAGAAAAAGAATTAGAGAACTAGGAAAGGAAATTTATTCTCCGACTTGTCCTAAGGGAGAGAAAACACAGTGTGTGAGCAACTATGATGGATATATCTTTGAAGTCCTGTGGGCACCGACAGGAACAATCTAATTCTACATGAGGGCTAGAAAATTAATGGAAGGAGGATATCTGCTCCAGATTTATTTTTTGCCCTGGATTTTGAAGGCTACATAAGAGTTTCCTAAGTAGACAAAGAGTGTAAATGTTCCACAATAAACTCAAAGGAAAGACACATGTCATGTATTGGCAGTCCTGTGCCATGAAGAATTTCGTTGAAAATCATGAAATACAAAAGGAGTCAGGATCTCAAGTTGTAGGGTGTCCAGCCTCCTATTCTATATCCTACCTTGTTCTGCTTTTGGATTATTCTCTGCACTTCCCCTGGAGTTCCCTTTTTCAACCAATTTGAAAACTCTACCTGTACGATAGGTGAGCTCACAGGCCAGGCCTTGGAAACCGACAGGGCAGATGCAGTCACAGCGGGATCCTGAGGACACCAGACAGACAGAGTGTAAAATAAGGATGTGGAGTGAAGATCTCAGAGCTCAGGCCCCGTTCCAGCATTGCTACCAGGTTTACACAGGGCAAACGGATGGAGGGTTTGCAATGACTACATTCAATGCCCCAAACACCTACTCCTCTCTTGAGGGTCCTTGAATTATGAAATGATAGTGTTTTTTCCTTGTTTTTGTTTTGTTTGCCATTAAAAGGGAATTATGGGGAACTTCTGAGGAATATCAGTTCTTGGCTGCCACTCAACCCATGTTTATAATCTCCCAAGATCAGAGGTTATAGTTAGCAGTTATTGAGAGCAATCATCATTCTCCATAAGTAACTGTCTGCCTTGGCTTGAATACCTATATAGGGGTGGGAAACTCAGATTCCAATGTCTCACCTTGCCTTTGGCCAACCTGCAGGAGTAATTCCTTATGCTAACTTACAATTTCCCCCACTGGAGCTACTTTCGTCTGTTCACCAAGTATCTCTTTTACGAGATTGTCAGTCAATGGTCAGATCCCAGAACATTTGCCTCTGGCTCTGTATATTCTCTCTGACCACATTCTACAGCCTCAGGTGGACACCTGCTTTTAGGTCTAATTTTTTTTTTGCAAGACAAGAGGGATTTTGGCCACTCTAGATGGAAATCTTGTGTTCACGTGACTATAAGATGCCAATGAATTGACCCTCATGCAGGGGTCCCTGAGCTGATGGAGGAATCTCAACACCTTACTCTTCCCTTACTTTGTGCTTTGCTCATATTCATCTGGTCTGAGAAACTATGCCACTCTAGCCACTGGAATCTTTGTCACTGAGAGTGTGTTTTCTCTTATGAATGCTTCTTCAGGGTTTTTTGTTCCTGTGTGAGTTGTGTCCTGCATCCAGCTTGCTCTCTGGGTTTAGATTAACTATAACCAGAGGTGTCTGATGTTCAGAGTGCAATGTTTGCTTGATTAAATTCTTCCTCAGTGTCTTGCCAGCCCATCAACATGGAAACTTGAGATTCTAAGGCCCTCCCTTCCTAATGACCCAGACATAGCCCTTGAAGTTAATCAGTCAATCATGGTCCATCCTTTACTAACACCCACAGACCTCACTGCATATTGATCAGGACCTATGTAAAGAGGGTTTGCCTCACTCTGTCCTTTTCTTTATCTAGGAGAAATTTCCTGAGCCTATCCCCCATCCTTGTGGCAGACCACATACTCTTGGCCTGGTTCCAGATTTCAGCTAGATTCACTTGTCACCTTCTGTGTCCCTTGGGGCTGGAGCCTGTGGTTCCTGACTACATTCTGACTTTTGGGGAAACAAAAGTGGGCAAACACTTGGGCCAGAGACAACATCCTCCAGATGATAGCTTTACTAATGGACCACAGTGGCCTAGAAGTGGTACCTTTCAGGACAGGGACTCCATTGCCTTGGCAGGGGGCACAAAGGCAGGCACTGGCTTCTCTCTGGAACTCCTCCAGAGCCCGCTTCATGTTCTGCCGCACAGTGCTGGAGTAGGCAAAATCGGTGGCTGTCACCAATTCATACAGAGGCTCTGCCTGGCAAGGGAGAAAAGATATGTCTTTTAAGAGGCATTATTCATCACCCAATGGCCTAAAACAAGGTTACACAGGATGGACAGAGGGAAAATCCTGGAGGATACCTGTGCAACTGCTGCAAGGCCATAGCCCACAGGTGGATGCTCTCTCCCCTCTGTCTCTATCTACATCACACAATTAGCTCATTCAAGTTCAGGTTAACACATGCTGAATACCTATGAAGTGCTAAGCATGAAGTGTAAATAATGAACAACACAGAAACCTTGCTCTTAGGAAACTCAGAAATTACAGACAGAGACAAATAGGTGATAACAGACAGCCTCTAGCAGGACTTAAGATTTTCAACTTGATGAAAGTGTGAAAGGGGTTTGTATTTAAGAGAAGTTGTACTTTGCATTTTGACCATTTCCCATGTAAAGCACATGTCGGGTGATGTTCTCTTGAAATGCTGGGCAGTGAGGACAGAGATGCAGACCGCAGCCCTGTGCCAATGAGGGGAGCCACCTGTGATCTAAGTGTATCCAACGTGGTTTTAACTTTGGATATTTCCTATTCTGACTGGTTCCTCAGAACAAAGCAAGTCGAGGAGGCTCTGTACTGTGTGGTGTTGGCACATAAACAGCAAACAGGTGAGATGAACAGAGGAGTGGATTTTTAATCTGCCTGGTGAGACAAGGAGGTGATTTTTTTTTCAGCAGCTCTTTGAAAGTACTTTAGCATTGTTGTTCCCACACTGCTCCCCTTTCAAATCTATTAGAATTAATCACATCAGGTAACAGTCCCCAACAAGAAATCCTTCCTGAACCAACACCTTTCCGTTAAGATGCTGGACGGACTGCTAATCTGATATGGTTCTGGTTGGACATTTCTCTGTTCTAGGGATCATATTTTCATATTTTCCTCAGTGCAAAATTCTGTTTTTTTCTTTGCTGTTTAAACTGTAAGCCTCTAGAAGCCAGGCCTCAGGGCTATGTGCCCTTCAGCTCTGTTTTTCTACAGCTCGCAGTTTAGGGATAGAAAACAGGCAGATGAAGGGGTCCAGGAGGCCTCAGTAGGTCAATGGCACCAGGTACGAAGAAGATGGTATGGCTGCTCGGTGTAGAGTAGCAGAAACCACAGGGGCAAGTCACTCAGGGACGAGGCAGTGCGATTGGTGCTGTGAAGACAAACTTGAGCCATTGTACAAAGAGGTAGATTTACATGTTCTGGTCTTCTTGACTCAAGCTCCAGAGCCAGGTTCCTGTCCAGGTTTTGTTTGTGATCCTGCCCTAATCCAGCCCTGGAGAGTTTAGGGTCTGTCTAAATGCAGGCAATCATGCCTAATAGAAGCCTCCAGTGGGAAGAAAATTGCTTCCATTTCTTAATGCATCTGATGCTGACCTTCGCTCCAGTGGGCAAAGCAAGGCCCCTTGGTGGTCCCATTGTCTCACCGGTTTGTGGTCAATGAATTGATCCACAGGCTGTTTGTAGAACCATCCAGCTTGCTGGCCACACAAGGGGAGGGAGAGCAGGGGGAGAGGGGCGGAGGTGGGCAGGGTTGCTTTATACCAATGAAGAGCTCCTCAAACAGGCCACTGTTGCTCCTCCAAGCTGCCTTTAGCCACTATGGTATCTTCCTACAGAGAGTCAGCACACCCTCCCTACCCCCCCAATCCCCACCCACCCCACATACACTCCATACTCTAGGACCTGCATGGAAGTTTTACCTTGTGATATCCTCACAGGGTAGAAATTATTAACAGCCTTTTCAGGTGAAGGGAAGTCACTTAACTCAGGCCACACAACTCACAAAACAGCATTGTCAGGATTCTAAACCAAAGACTGTGTTTTCCTATAGCTGGATGAAGACTATTGAGAGAATGGCTTGATTTGTCCCATTGCCAGTCGCCATTCCAGGGTTCTGAAAATTGGTAAGCTACAGTGGTGCTCCCTTTATAATTTAAGCTATTATGGTGCATGACTGTTCTTTGGTTTTGCTGTTTCCCCCTATTTCTCCCTGTCTTCCTCCCTCTCTCCCCTTTTCCCTCTTTTCCTTTTCTTCATTCTTCCATACCTTACCCTAAATACTTACATCTAAAAAATACCCATACTAGTCGTCAGGTGTTTTGCATACCAACCCCTAATTAATATGCTTTACATATTAACCAACTGAGGGTTTTCTATGTCCTTTGAGAGTGTATCTTTCTAATAAATTGTGTTATTCCTCATATATTAAGGATCTTATTTCTAGCATAATTATTCTGATTACTATGAGATAGCTGCCATTTAATTTAACTCATTGTTTTCTTGCTTGAAAGTCAGACTGTATTTTGCAGGGGGATCTATCAGTTGAGACATGACATTGCTTTTCTGCCTACCCCAGTCTTAAGGCTTCTTTGGTTTGTAGTAACTTGCATTCAGAAAGCTATTGTAGTCATTACTACTTCTTACCAAATAGATCCACTTTTTACTCCCTTCTGAACCCATGGTAAAGTTGCAGGTCATTCAAGACAGTTTTACACAGTAGGGCTGCAGCTTACTAAAGGCAGGTTTGCACATAGTAGGGCTGCCTCCATGAAGACAGTTTTGCAATGTGTTCCGATCAGAGAGAGGTAAGCAAAAGCTGGTCACTTCTAAGCTGATGCTTTCAAAGCAGAATGAGATGACTTGTTGCATTTGATTTGAGGACAAGAAAAAGTTCCTTGTTTGAATTCCTGAGTGATCATAGGGAGCAAAGCCTTTTGACCAATATTTCTTAGACATAAAATGTGATTGAGAAACTAAGTTAATGATAGGAGTTCTTTCTCTGTAGCAGGCCTGAAGCTTCCCTGACCTATTTGTGAGCATTATTCAGTACCACAGTCCCCCTATTCCTCCTCCGTGTTGTGTCAGTAGTGGGGCTTGAACTCAAGGCCTTCTGCTTTTGCATGTTTTTTTTTAAATATTCCGCATGGCTGGTACTTTACCACTTGAGCCACATCTCTACTTCTGGCATTTTTGGTGGTTAGTTGGAGGTAAGAGTCTCATAGACTTATCTTCCTGGGCTGGTTGACCCTTATATCTTAGCTTCCTGAGTAACTAGGATTATAGGCATGGGTCAAAAGTGCCTGGGTGGTATTCCTTTTTGGTGACTCCTTTATTATGTCAAAATCTCTTTGGAATTCTTGACTCACTAACCATATATCTTACCAGGCCAGAGTCTTCTAGACCCAACAGCTGATACTCCATTATCTTTAGACATTTCATGGCAAAGAGTTCTGAGACCAGTGTGATTTTTGTTCTAGTGGGATATAGTTATTCCTCCAAATGATCATTTCACAAGTAGGTGTTGTAATCTGATTTTGCTTCTCAGTCCTTTTGCCTAGTTTTCCATGAACTGTTTATTTTGTATCATCAGCTTGGGGAAGTTTCTCCATTTATGCACTTGATGAATGTGTCTTCACATTTAATCTTGCCTTTTCCTCTGAGAGCAGTCTTTGTGTTTTCGACTTCTACCTCTGTACTCTATCCATCATATTTCTGTCCTGTCATTGTTTTAATCTCTTTGTCTTTTGTTTCTACATTATAGGAACATTTTTATAGCACCTTCCACATCACTGACTCAATTTTCTGCAGTGTCAATTCTGTTCTTTATAGTTTCCACTGTAAGTTTTAATTCTGCCATTGTGCTTTCAGTTCCTTGTATTCAGCCACTTCTTTTTATCTGATCAGTGTCCAAACATCTCCGCTTCTGTTTGTTATTTCATAGATTCCCCATTTTCCTCTATTTTATTCTAGTCACAAAGCAAAGGCATTCTAACATTTACTTCTATTTTATAGACATGTGCTTATTTTCTGCATCCTGAACATGATTTCTGTCTTTTGTGTTCAAATCTCTCTTTCTCTGTCCATTGCTCTTTCTAACTTGTCTTTGCACCAGGAGCCACTTTCCTCTGTGGGAAGTGAGTAGTGTGAATGCATTCTTCTGTGACCTCCTTCCTTGTCTACCTGGCATCTAGAGAATCATGACTCAGATCTTGATCTTAAAGATTTATCAATGTACTTGGGCATTAACGAACACTCTTTGCATTTAAGAATTGCTTATCTCGTGGGCTCTGGTATGCTGAAAAATCAATTGTCACTCAAGCCACCTGGTAAAGTAGCTGGCTCTGCAGCAAGAAATGATTCTGAGATAATGGAAAGACATCTGTAGTTTTCTCTGACCAGAAAGAACATATGAAACAGGCATCACCAGAGTATGTGTTTGCAACTCAGATGAGAGAGAACTAGAGATGCATATAACCCTTCTTCACCCTCATCTTTTTTATTGTAAAGATACTGTACAGAGGGTGACAGTTACATGAGTAAGGTAATGAGTACATGTCCTATTGTACACTGTTACTCCCTCCTCTGATTTTCCCCCACCATAACTTCCCTCTCCACCTCCCCAGCTCCTCCCTCCTTCCCACCAACATTGTAAAGTTCGTTTTTAACATAGTGTCCTGTATATCTCCTCATTACAATGGGTCAACCTGCATCCCCATTTAAGCATTCCGCTATGCCCCTTCCCCTCTCCAAATTACAAACGTGTATATACAAGATGCAGAACACCGGAACCAAATTCAGTGAAAATGGATTATACCATGGGGGAAGAACTTGCAAAAGAAACAAAAGAATCACATAGTGGATTATAAGTACATTAAAAACAATAGCAAGAAAGAAAAAGAAAACCCTGTGTCCCTCCCTGTCTTGGGGTACATTTTGCTTATCATTATCTCATATGGTCTTATGTACATAGCCTTTGACCTTCTCTATTTGTTGTAAACATGTACTAGACATTGCAAACAAGGTAAACCATGGGATCTATGTTTCTTTGGGCCTGGCTTACTTCATTTAATATAATTTTTTCCAAGTCTTTCCATTTCCTAACAAATGGGGCAATAATATCATTCTTTCTGATGGAGGCCTAGAATTCCATTGTATGTATGTATATCTATCTATCTATCTATCTATCTATCACATTTTCTTGATCCATTCATCTACTGAGGGACATCAGGGTTACTAAGCAACTGGAAAAACCTCCCATGATCCTGGATTGGGAGGATCAACATCGTGAAAATGGCAATACTGCCAAAGGCTATCTACAAATTCAATGCGATACCTATCAATATCGCAACCAAATTCTTCAATGAAATAGAAGAAGCAATCCAAAAATTCATATGGAACAATAAAAGACCCCAAATAACAAAAGCAATCCTTAGTAGAAAGAACAGCACTGGAGGAATATCAATTCCACCCTCATATTACTGCTGTGCTCCTGAAAACATTCGATTCTCCATCACAATCTACATCATGTCACATGGTAGGCCTTGAAAGTCCTGGTACTTAGGAAAGCACAATAATGCTCCCAGATCAGGTATGATATCTCACTGTAAAGGAACTTATTTTCCTTCAACTCTCCGTTCTCTCCCATGCCCAGTTGTGATGCCAACTAGTGTCACCGTGGCACCAGGCAAGCCCAGATTTCTCTGGAGGTACTTGCATCTCACGGCTGACTTTATTCCTCTGTAACTGCCAGCAACTGTGCCCTGACTGTCACTACTAAGTAAGACTGGAGAGGATTTGAATGACAGCCTTCTTGTTCTGCAGAAACTATGCATTTGACACACAAATAAAAATCCTGTGGAAACTTGTCAGGGTCAGGGTTATAGTCTCTCGTCAAGCTCCAGCCTCTCATTCCTCCTCCTTGACTGCCAAGTGGACTCTCGGGGGAGGGGGTGGACAATGGCTAATCAATGACTGCACAGACACTGGTAAGAGGAGAACAGTGTAAGGTATGCTGTGGGCACCATGGAGAAATCCCCATGGAAAGGACCTACCACTGCTGATGTGCCTGACAGTCCTGTTCTAACAAGCATCCTTTCCATTTAAGGTTGCAGGGCTTCTCTTGTATAGGTGACAGGTGGCTAGGATCATTATTTTCTATTCACACCAAGCCCACAGGAGAATCTAGAGGGCAGGGAAGATGTCAAAGTCTCTTGTCTGGACCTAATGGAGACTCTTGAGCAGCTAGAGATGGATAAGGCCTTTCTGATCCTTGATTTGTGTCAGCCACAAAAGGAGGTAAGCATACTTAACTTGTAGACCATTGCAAAGATCTGATAAAGAATCATATTCTCTGAGCCCCTGGAAGAGTGTCATGAACACTGTGCATGCTCCAAATCTATTAGTTATTATCACCACGTTTCTTTCTGTCCTATAAGACAGAAATGCACATATACACTTTATTCTTCATTCTGGCTTCTCCTTTTGTCTTCCTTTCTGCATTTTAGCAAGAACTCAACAACTACTTGTTGGCTGAACATCTGAATGTTTAATAAATACATGAGTGATTCTCTGGTAAGTTAGAAAAAACAATTATTTAAGAAGGGTAGAACCAGAAGTTAGTTTTTCATTTCCTTTGACAACATAGGGTTTAAGTGAGACAGAGCCAGGGATCTGCAGGCAGTATACAATACAGTGGGTAGTTGTAGTTGGGTTTGAACTCAGGGCTTCTTAAGTCTAGGCAACTACTGCACTATTGGAACCATGCCTCCATGTTTTTTGCTTTAGTTAGCTTTTTGGATAGTGTCTCACGTTTTTGCCTGTGCTAGCCTCAGATCCACCTACCTCTGTCGTCCAAGTAGTTGGAATTATACATGTGCACTATTGTATTTGGCTCCAGAGTCTAACTGGTTTGTCCTAGATTTATTTCTGCTGTAAGGTATGTGTCCATATATGTGAAGGTTTTCCATCTATTATACTACAACTCACCACAGGTCCTCAGAAGCTGCTCTCTATAAAAGTAGGAGGGGTTGGGCAGTCACTTGTACCTTGACTTTGATGATCGCTGGGTTGTACTGCACAGCATCTCCCCACTCCTGCATCAGCTCAGCTGTGGGCAACTCCTTGTAAGCCAAGGTGGTGATGTGCTCACTCGCACCTCCTCGTACCAAGACCACCAAGTCCTCTATCATAGTTTTTCTCTTGTTTCTATCTGGAATGGACATGAAGATCTGGAATGTCATTAGTATCAACTGTTATACCCTGGACTTTATTTGTTGTATCCCTACCAACAATCTTGCCTGTGAGACATCAGAGAACAACAAACATTGCATATTGCAAGGAAGTCATAGCACACAGAGCAAAAGGGAAGCATGCTATAGCCATCGGTAACATCTTTCATGCAGCCCAAGGACAGGAGGTTCATTTTGTGCATCTTTAAGTGGTAGTCATTGATTGGCACAGTGTATGGAAAATAGGTAGAGATAAGACATACAGTGAATTGATAGTCAGGTAGATAGATGACAGAAAGCAGATAGTTAATACATTAATGATCAGATGATAGTTAACTTAGAAAGAAAAAGAAAAGGACAAAGAAAGAGGGATAGAAGGAAGGGAAGAGAGAGAAAGAAACAAGAAAGAAGGAAAGAAAACAAAAGAAGGAAAGAAAGAGAGAGAAAGGAAGGAAGGAAGGAGGGAAGGAAG